CTCCAGCTCCAGGAAATCTGACACCTGGTCTCCAAGGCACTGGTATCTGTGTACAGGAACTCACATACAGATATTCATAATTCAGCAATAAATCTTAAAAAACAAAGTTGTCTAGGGAGATGGCTTCATTGGTAAAGTATGTAGTGTGAAGACCTGAGTTCAATCCCCAGAACCTGGGTTTTGTTTTGTGTTTTAAAAAAGTATTGTGGTGGTTCAGGCTTGTAATTCCAGCTCTGGTGGGAAAAAAGGTAGATCCTGGGACTTGCAGACCATCCAGCCTCGCCTACTTGGCAAGCTCTGCATCATTGAAAAGTATCTCAAAAAACAAGGTGAAGAGCTTCTGAGGAATGACACCTATGTTGTCCTCTGGCCCCTAGACTCACATGTACACACTTGCACGTGCACCTACACAAGCAGGAACACACATACGGGCACACACCACACACACACCCACAGGTCCTTAGAAGCTCATTGAGATGAGTTGAAATTTCTAGCCGAAAGTAGAATAAATGTATCTTTGAATACTCACAGTAATTCAGAAGATTTCGGAGGGCAGGTGTATCCTTTTGTGCTTTTGGAGGGCTCGAGCCATATCCTGGAGTAAATGATTAAACAGCTCATTTACATACAGTGGTGGCAGGAGAAAGCTCCAGCATTGTCCTTTAGAGTCGCCAGACTATGTATGATGTCAACCGTTGAGATAAATGTGAATGGCCAGGTCACACGACTGCCTTAGGTAGATAGGTGTGTCTTGATTTTGCTGTGGTGTCAGTGTAGTCTCAATAACTTTCAGGCAATATCCTAATTGTGAATTCATTGATTCTTAGCCCATTTCTGTGTTGGTGTTGAATATGAATAAGTGAATTAAAGCATCATTGCCTGACCTGTAATTAGGGATGAAGACACATAGTAAAACAGTCAGAGAGGATTCTGGATGCTTGGTGGAAAGGGGGTTTCAGCAAGAAAAGGGAGACAGCCACAGACAACCAGTTGCCTTTGGACATGCTTGCAATAGAAATAGTCCTTCCTTACTGCTGGGTAGGCATGAGGCATGAGACAATAGGTGGCAGGTCTGTCTAACTCGCAGGTTTGGGCTATTTCAGACCATCTCATGCAGGCGTAGTCCAGGGGACTCTACACAGTCCCTACCAATGGTTTGGGGGAAGGCACAGAAGACAGGAAGCTGATGAAATGAACAGGGTAAGGAGGATTAACAATTCAAAAAGATGTCACGAGACTTGACTCTCGAATGTAGCATATGTACAGGCGGGGGTTTTGCTCTTTGATAGACAAGATAGAGCCAGGTAAACTTAGCCTAATCTCAAAAAAACCAAAACAAACAGGACCCCCCCCAAAAAAAGCAAAACAAAAACGAAGAAGGTGGTACGGCTGCCAGAAAAGTGAATCCAAAACAAACTTTTTCCAAATGTGTGAAGTTCAACTCAGAGAATTGAAAAATCCCATCATGCTTTGCACCATTTAGACAAAAAGTGATGTTGTGATTTATGTTTGTGCCAGCACACAGCCCTTGAGGTTGACTGAGGTGCAGATAGCCCAGATACCTACAAGATGAACACATGACAGGGTTGGAGTCGATTAGGTCAAAGGGCACTGCAGTGTGAAGCCTTGTTCTGGAGAGCCGCCATTAGAGACCAGGTACATTGAGAGAGGCCAAGAGTTAAAGTGAAGGCCTGAGTGTAGAAGTAATTGCACCCTTCACAGTGGCCGCTCTCTCACTGCCTCTCACACCTGTCCGTAGACAGTTGCTCACTGTAGGCCCCTTCTTGGCAAAGATGACACAAGACTGGAAGAACAGAGTCTCTACAACACAGCCAGCTTTTCCCCAGCGGTGTGGGTGCTGGGGTGACCTCTAGGTGACACAAGTCACCTAGAGGAAGCCATAATTATGTGTTAGACTATTTGGACAAATCGGGTCATTGTTATGCTGGAAACCCAAGTGTTCAGATTAGTGATCACACACCCATGTGCGTACACACACACATACACACACACACTTATCTACTTAATTCCTCTTGGCTCACTCTTTCAGGTGTCACGGTGTTTGGGTTTTAAAGCATCTGTAACTTGAGTTTCTTAAACTCTTCTAGGTTATGTTAGACAACAATTGCTTCTTTCTAAAATCTAAACCAAAAGGTGCACCCTACTAAATTAGCTGCTAGACTTTGGTGTAGCCTACAGTCATGGATTTTTACATGCACAGTTTGTTTTTTAGTGGTCTGATAGAAAAAGATATTTAAAAAAATATTTTGTGTGTGGGTGTTTTGCCCACCTGAATGTCGGTGTACCACATGTGTACGATGCCTTGTGGAGGCCTCAAATCCCCTGGGACTGGAGCTACAAATGGTTATGAGCTGCCATGTTGCCACTGGGAATTGAATCCTGGGCCTCCTGGGAGAGCCACAAGTACTATTAATATCTGAGCTGCCTCTGCATCCCCAGGTTTTGTTTTATGTCAGTTTTCAGTTGTAGGCAAGATCTGGCTGGATGTGGTGACTTACAGCTGGAATCTCAGCACTCAGGATGCTGAGGCAGGAGACTCATGAGTTTCAGTAGGTTGGACTATGTGGTAAGACTGTCCTAGGGGAGGAGGGTGGAGAAAGAAGGAGGAGGAGGAGGAGGAAGAAGAAGAAGAGATGTGTTTTAGGAAGGATGAAGAAGAGACTCTCCAGAGATTGGATGGTTTGAGGCAAAGGCTATGTGACATTCCATGTTGTTGACTGAAGGGTACCATGTTATGTCACCAAACATAGAAGAAAGTAAATCATTGCCATCATCGTGGGAATACCTCATCCTTCTGTGTTCAGGTGTGGAAAAGATGGGGGCACACTTTATTAAGATCTTCCCTGATCTGCTGGGGGTGGTGGAGGCGGAGGCAGGTAGAGATCTCTGTGAGTTCCAGGACAGCCAAGACGACACAGAGAAACCCTGTCTCAAAAAAAATCAAAAACAAAATGAAAGGAAAAAAAATCCTCCTTCATCAGTGTTTCTCCTTGAACAAGGAAGAGGAATGACAAGAGCTTTTGAAGAGGTTCTTCACCTCTGCCCTTGACTAGAGGCCACTGAGTGTCATCTACAGGGAGATCGTGCTTACAGAATCCATGTGCAAGAACTGTGGTCCCAGGCACTCTTTATTGGATGGGAGAGTACACGGATGTACTCCTAGCGGATGTCAAATGCATCGAGTCATCCTGTAGATGTTAATAACCAGCCACTTCTACAAGGTTACACTTTTCATCCATCATTCTTGGGTCTGTGGGCAATAATGCCTCCTCTACATTCCTGGTTGGTCCCTGCAGAATCCCAACATGGTCCATGATCATTCAAGAGTAGCACATGACAGATCCTGAGTCCGTTCTCTTCCTGTCCATATGAGGAAGTTCACCTTACACTGTGCCTTGGGGCCCAGCACAGTATGCTTGTAGATGTTGTCCCTTGATGTTCAATAAAACCCAATGCTTGCTTCTTCAATGTGCATTTTGTTTGGAAGACTGTCTGGTTCTCCCTTTCCTAACACCAGTCAAATCCTGTCCCATTACAAACTCCTGGGTTGGTTAATAAATGCTCTTAGTCTCTTCCTGCCCCTCAGTCAGAATAGACCATAAGGGGTTTACTGTCTTCATCACCCTCTTCACTCAAGGATCTTTGCCAAATAAGTATAAATCTGGATGTATATATATAATTTATCTTTTCTTTACGTTGGTGTTTTGCCTGCATGTATGTCTGTGTGGGGATGTGAGACCTTGGAGGTACACACAGTTGAGAGTTGCCATGTAGGTGTTGGGACTTGAACCCAGGTCCTCTGGAAGAGCAGCCAGTGTTCTTAACCGCTGAGCCATCTCTCTGGCCACTGAATGCACTTTCTTAATAATCATAAATAATCTCAGTTGCCCTCTACAGCAGGGTGCTGTAACTTTTCCTAGTGTTCAGTTTTTCTGTCCTTTCTCCTGGGGTTTGTTTTGCCTCTGTGGAACTTGGTCTTCTTGTTTCCGGATCTGCTTCTGGAGTCCGTCAGTTTTAGGGACCATGAACTCCCTATTCATCTCTCCAAGGCAGCGCAGTGAGCAGGGGAAACAATGCTATGGAATCAGAGAGAGCAGCCCTTCTGCCCAGGGGGAGGGGAGAGAGGCCTCTGGCCCCAGAGCTGCAGGCCCCCAGGTGTGCAGTGGGGGAGGTTTGGGAGCCTGAGCTCACTGAGGTGCCAAGTGCCTTTCAAACAGCACTTATTAGGAAAATAACTGCTTTTAATTATGCTGAGGCGAATGTGGGGCCAATATATGCAAGGCATTGTTTTCCTTGTATGAGGAAGTAAGTGGTTTTGTTTGAGGACTGGAATTGTATTTTCTTCTTGTTTTTTAATAAACAAGCTTTATTATCAGTTATCATGTCTGTTTTATCCAAGTGCTTTAGATATTATCCGTGTCACCTCCCACATCACTCTAAATATCCCTTTTTCTTGAGAAAGGTTTGTTAATGAGCCAGGTGTGCTAAAACAAAAACAGGAATTTGTTGTGTTCTGCTTGATTGTGAAGATGCCCCACATTTTAGAGAGGTTGGCATTTAGCTAAGAGGAGCCAGATACAAAGAAAAAAAATCTAGATTAACAGCATAATGCCAAGATTGAGGAACAGCTTCTGAGTGATAGGTTGCTTCGTCTGACGTGGGTCATACTTGGTAAACTAGAGGTAGAGGAAGCCAAGCAGGTCTGCTAAAATCACATGGTCACTCTCTTAAGGAAGGTCACTGACATCTTTCCCTGCACCCTATCTGCAAAGCTCAGGCTTTGAATTACATCACAGAGAGGGCCAGGTACATCTGATAGAAGAATTTTCATGGGGATTTTAAATGGGCAGCTAACTTGATGCTAGCCAGTCATGTTAGGTGGGGGAACCACAGGACAGGGACAGGACAACACCACACACCTTTGCCCTTCCAAAATGTGTTTTCTAGATACTACAATTGGATTATTTTCTTTGCTACAGGGTACTTCTGACATCGGTGACATTGCTGTCTATATACTCAATAAACCTACTATTGATCTGTTCCAAGGAAACAGGTAAGCTGAGATGTACAATTTTGTTGAAGGCAGGATGCTCACGGACAATGTGTGTCTCGTAATTTACAGTGAACTCTCGGTCATACCTGTTTGTCTAGTTTAGGATCACTTCTTTTAAAGGCTTCACTGCTTCCTTGGGTTGTTGTAACCCTGGAACAAAGATCCTATGCTTTCCTATCATAGCTTCCAACGTCTTAAGCAAACAGGTCTTTCATGCTCTTTTGTGCATGTTCCAGAGAGAAAATGTTACTCCAAAGGCATTGTGGGAGTGAGCGTGCTACTGGGAACTTCAAGTTCTCTGGGCAGTGTAACACCTGAAGTGTTTATTTTCTATTGCTGGGACACTGGATCATGTTTGTAATACTCTGACTTTTACATTAGCTCAAGCCACCTTGGCCAGCTATTGTATACAGATGACTGGAATGTTTTGTAATAAATTCCGGTTTATACACCAGTCTTCCATGAGGTCGAGCAAAGGTTTAATTATAGCCTGACCCAAATTGCTTCTTGTGAATGTTTTGAAATTATGAACTGCCATCAAGAAAGACAAACTTTTTTTTTCTTTTCGTGAATTGGTTTAGAAATTTACTGTTTATTGAAATGAGCTGGTTGGCCACTTGAGAATTTTGCTACAGTCACAATTCTCTCCAGGCCAACTTGTCTGCCTCTTTCTTTGGGCAGTTGCATGTCTTTGAATTGTATTTGCACATGATGAAAACTCAGTTCACAGTTATATTTAGAACAGGAGGAATTGATGGGATATTGTGAAGACACTTCTCTTAAGTTTTGAAAAAAACTTTTATATTCATTTATAGAGTGAATTTTAGTAGTTTTACACCCATTTTTTTCCTCTCTTCCCTACTCCTTCCCACTGGAACCCTTCTCAACAAGTTCTCCCCTCCTTACTCTTGTAGGTGGCCCGCTGAATTTAATAGCTTCATGCATGGGTGGGAGATTGTTTACTGGGACAAGGGCAACTATCTTGGCTACACCACTCAAGAAAATGACCCCTCCTACAACCATTAATCGCCAGTAGTCCCTCAGGGAAGGATGGAGCCTCTTGGGCACTCTGGTCTGCACTGAGATGTCATGGGGCTAATGTTGTACAGGTTCTGTGCAGACAGCCACAAATGTAGTGAGCTCATAAATGCAACGGTTGTGCCCTGTCCAGTAGACAAAGCCTTGCTGCACCCCTCCTCATCCTCTGGCTCTTTCCAAGCCCTCTTCCGTGATGTCCCCTGACCCTCAGAGGTGATAGTGTTTTGGCATTTGAGGCCAAGCACTCCACCATTGCTTGTTCTTAGCACTGTGGCCTGTTACAGACTTCTGCATTAACTACTGGCCCCTACAGCAAGAAGGCATTATCCTCAAATGGCGAAGCAGGGCTGGGGGTCAAAATATGGGTGGGTTTCCTACTTCAAGTAGAAGACAGTTCTGTCAGTCTAATCAGTTCAGCACATTAATTCAGAAGATAACTTTTTTTTGTCTCAAACATGAGGGTATTTAAAAAAATCAAATCTTGATTTTGATATTACATATCATATCCACGAGAAAGGTCAGAGTGGGACTTCCCCCCACCCCATGACCTAATCTTTCCTTGTAATATTCCGGAAGCCAATGTGACAAAGGAGAAACAGTGCTGGGTGCCTGACATTTAGACATGTCAAAGTGGTTCAGCTGATAGTGCCTTAACCTTTCTAGTGCCAAGGTATGGGTTTGAGAAAGGCTCAGAGTAGCTTAAAGAGTAGTGTGCTGCATAAGATGTTCACTTGGCTCTCAGAGCCTTGTCCTTTCTTATACTCCCAAATTCAACTTGTAAATAGGATGCATGGTTTATGAAAAGCTGGGAGAACAAGTCTTTGGCACCACGGGGAAGCTGTTGATTTTTGGAGCCACCTCTCTACAGAACACTGGCGGTAAGAGCTTTTTCTCTTACAAGACCCGGCTTTTCTAATTATTCTATTATTGGCTTTTCTAATGCTGGTGGTTGGGTGTCCACATGCAACTTAACATAATCCAAACAGAGTCCGTGTTGCCCACGTGGCATGTGGATAGTGAAGCAGAGGCATGCGTTGGTCACTGCCGCGGGAGCTAAGGTTACCTGCGCTCACCAACAACGGGGAGCCTGGGCACAGCTGCCAACTGTTCCTGTGTCTTGTAATAAGAGCTGTGGTGTTGCCTTTCTAAATTTGTTCTCCTTCCACAGCGATGCTGAGCTACCTCTTCATAGTAAAAAACGAACTTCCTTCTGCCATAAAATTCCTCATGGGAAAGGAGGAGGCATTTTCGTAAGCTTTCGACCTTTTCTTGCTTCTGGTGTGTGATGTATCTAAACAGATTGCTTCAGTGTTTCTCAACCTTTGGATCGTGACCCCTTTGGGGGGTCAAATGACCCTTTCACAGGGGTCGCATATCAAATATCTAATATTAAAAAAATACTCACATACATAAATAATACACTGGATAGTGGTGGCGCACATCTTTAATCCCAGCACTCAGGAGGCAGAAGCAGGTGGATCTCTGTGTTCAAGGCCAGCCTGGTGTACAGAGTGAGTTCCAGGACAGCCAGGGCTACAGAGAAAAACCTTGTCTCAAAAAAAATAAATAAATAAAACAAAGAAGTAATGATGATGATGATGATGATAAATAATTGTATGGTTGGGGTCACCACAACACGAGAAACTGTATTTAAGGGTTGAAGCATTAGGAAGGTTGAGAACCACTGGCTTAAATGAAAGATGACCAAGTTTTGTTTTATGAAAGTTTTATAAATAAGATGCTCCTAAGCCTGTTTTTCTTTTTCTTTTTGGCGGGGTTGGGTGGAGTAGCAAGGCAATATAAATGGAAGAAGCAGAGAGCCACTTAACTGTGGCTCCGTCTGTCACCCTGAACATAGTAGCAAGCCTGGACTGTGTGTCTGTGTGCTGTGACAGAGAGTACATATGGGATATTTTAAACACAGAAGTAGGACATACAGAGAAGGAAAAAGAAAAAAACCCTCCCTTCTTAAAGAAAGTTCATGGCATTTTGGGGGCAAAATTTCCATGGACTGACATCATTAAAAATGTAGCTCGCCCTAGGGAGTGCTGCCAGCACCACTTGGCACAATATTTGACCTCTCATCTAAGAGTCCTTGTCAGCCATCTCCATTTTCCTTCAAGAAGAAGCTGTAGTTCCCTGTCTGTTCAAGGTCAAATCTAAAGGATCAGCCAGGGCTGGATGCCTGCTGGTGGGGACTCCGTTCTTGCTGGTAGCATCCAAACAAAACAAAAAGGGACTTTCTCTTTAAATAATTGATAGGACAAGTTGTAATCTGACAGAATGTCGCATACGCAGTTGGCTTTGAAACCACGTAAATAATTCATAGGAATGCCACATTTAGCCAACGGGGCGGGGGGGGGGGGGGAGTGCCGCTTTCACTTTTCACATGGGAATGAGGCAGGAGTAAAGTAGTGGTGGGGTTAACGTGTTTGAGAAATACTCCTCAGAAGGGAGGTAGTGAAAGGCAATAATAAAAAGCCATTGTAATGCATTGGGAAATTTGAGGATCTTGGTTGGAGACTGTAACACTGCCACTTCCATGCCTTTCAGTGCCTGGTACGTCGATGGCCGCGTCCTGGTCGTGTTGGTTACCTTCGGCATAATTCTCCCGCTGTGTCTCTTGAAGAACCTGGGTGAGCAAAGACCTGGCCCTTATCTCAGGCTCTCTGGTTCCAGATGAATCAGGAACACTACAGAAACGATCACCTTTGCCTGCCTTCGTTAGACTAATGACAAGATAAATCATAAATTGCAACTATTAATGAGACCTGAGCTTAATGTGAGATTTAAGACATGATGTGACTTTCTGTGAAATCCCTCCAGGGAGCCAGAACAGGAAGGACAGCAGCAGTTCTGGGACTAGGATAGACTCTTAACTGCTTTCAGTAGCACAGCTTACAGGCTGCTGTAAGAAAAGTCCAGAAAATAGAATTCTCCTGTAAAATTCTGTTCTTTTTTGTTTCTGATGTTGGGGAATCAAACCCAGGGCTTTGTGCAGGCTATCCAAGCCCTCTGCTGCTGAGTGACACCCCTGCCCCTACAGCCTGTGAATTCAGACACAGGGTCTCCCTAACTCTTAAACTCACCATCTCCCTCAATGGTTGCTTTGTAGTGTCTAAAATTCTGATCATTCAGACTCAGGATTTCAAATCTGATAGCAAGACAGTGCAGAAGTGTTACAAATCACACTTCAGTTTAGAGTGTAGCCAGTCTCCGTGACTTTGCCCATCAGAGGAAAAAAGAGGAATTTAAAGTGGAAAAAAAAAAAGGTTGATGATCTTCAAGTCAGCCTTTTGGTCTTGACATTTGTTTTCATGCTTATATTTGGAGACAGGCATGCAGTCTGGACTAATTCAAGGCAAATGTTTGGATTGAAGTTCTCTCAAAAATAATTACGAATCGTAGGAGGTTTTGGTATTTTTTTGTCTTAGTTTAGCTAAGATAAGTCAGAGCTTCACGGCGTCTATGAAGTTTACAAGTAGATTTTTCTTAACTACTTATTTTTGTGCTCTCTGCATTTCTGTGGGCTTTTCCGACCCTCCAGTTAGTATAGAGAATGGTCCTTCCCTGGGGTGTAAGAATAATGTAGTTCCTGGGAGGGAGGGCATCTGCCTTTATGGAGGTTGTGGTGACCATCTTTCTCTGGTATTTCAAGAGGAGTAAGGCCTACAAAAACCACTCTATTTCAGTGGTTCTCAACCTGTGGGTCACAATCCCTTTGGGGGACAATCCCAAAGAATACTTTCACTGGAGTCACCTAAGATCATTGGAAAGCACTGATACTTACATTATGATTCATAATAGTAGCAAAATGACAATTACGAAGTACCAATGCAAGTAATTTCATTCTGGGGGAGGGTCCCCACAGCATGAGGAACTATGATGAAGGGTTGCAGCGTATAAGAAGGTTGAGAACCACTGTGCTGTTTGTCCCTTGAAGCTCAGTTGACCTCTCATTGAGAGAGAAGTTTATCAGTAACGTTCAGGATTTCCACAGTAGATGTGGAAAAAAGAGCCTCAGTTTAACACTAGGGTGCACCAACACAGAGACACGGCCAAAGCCAGGAGGCTCTGTCTTCCCAGAGTCTGAGATCTGTGTCCTGGAACGTGCCAGGGATGCCTGGAATCAAAATACCAAATATGTTTTTACTAAAAGCCCTCCTATCACTATTATTATTTTCTTTTCATATGGACACAGGCATTTCATGAAGTCCCAAACATGCTTGAAGTAATATGTACAAGCAATTGATATTTTTAATAATAATAAGTATTAATAATTATCGGCTGGGCGTTGGTGGCGCACGCCTTTAATCCCAGCACTTGGGAGGCAGAGGCAGGCGGATCTCTGTGAGTTCGAGGCCAGCCTGGTCTACAAGAGCTAGTTCAGGACAGCCTCCAAAGCCACAGAGAAACCCTGTCTCGAAAACACAAAAAACCAAAAAACAAAAACCAAATAATTATATTAATAAAATACTCATTGATTGTTTTCTTTTTTAAAAGGGTACCTTGGCTACACTAGTGGATTTTCCTTGAGCTGCATGGTTTTTTTCCTAATAGTGGTAAGTTCTGATTGAAGCGATTGCTGTGTTTTTTTATGTTCAAAGCTCTGTAATAGTTGTTCATGGTTTGGCTTTAATACAATCTCTGTTGGTTCTCCTGTGTTTCTCAATACCAGGTTATCTACAAGAAATTTCAAATCTCATGCATGAGTATAGAACAAAACTCAACAATAAGTGCCAATGTCACTGACATGTGTACGCCAAAATACATTACCTTCAACTCAAAGGTGAGTTTGCTTATTTACCGGCAGTATTTCTTGTGCTGAGTTGTAATCACCCGTCTGGAGGTATTCATCTCTAAAAGGTGGCTCAGCATTGTTCCTCTGTAATTTACAATCCATCCATACCTCTTTGGAAACACACAATGCTGTTGTGCATACACTCACGCTCACACAGTCACACCCTTTATCTGGCTTAGGTCAGCTTTCACATTCTTGTGACAGTCTCTCCAGATCCTTGTCTCCACGTCTCCCTTCCCATGTGGTATGCTGCTTGGCACTTTGACTGATCATGTCTTCAGTCCACTGCTGCCGTGTGGAGGTGGCAGAGGAAACCCTCAAAGTGGCACTTTAAAGATCTTCGTGCTGTTGGGGTGTGGTTGGCTTCTTGGAAGACAGTAGTAGCCTCTGCAGTCACGAAGGTTGGTTGTTTTTTGGTATAAAAAGGTGGATTTGAGCACTCAGGAGACAGAGGTAGGCTGATCTTTGTGAGTTCAAGGCCAGCCTGGTCTACAGAGCAAGCTCCAGGACAGGCTCCATAACAATACAGAGAAACCCTGTCTTGGAAAAAAAAAAAAAAAACACCTTCTCCAAGAAAATTAACGGATGTCTTTCTTTACTGATTCCAAAAATATAGCCAAAGTAGTAAGCTGTGAAGCTAATTTTTTTCTAAATACCATCTTTTTTTTTTTGTTTTGTTTTTTGAGACAGTGTCTCACTATGCAACCCTGGCTGTCCTGGAACTTGCCTTGCAGACTGAGCTGGCCTTGAACTCAGTACCCTCTGGTTCTGAAGTATCGGGATTAAAGGTGTACATCACCATGCTGGACTTAGATACATACCATCTTTCTAAGTGTGCAATGGGCAGTTATTGGTGGATATCAGAGACTAGCAGTGTCCTGCCCTCTACTGTCATTTGCGATAGGGTTCCATGTACCTGGCTCGTGCAGCATAAACACAGCAAAGTGTGCTGGGTATTGGATGCTCACCATGGGAACCGGCTGTAAAGCCTCTCTGTCAGCAGTGCCCTGTGGCTCTGCTAGATGAGCCTTCTTGGAAAAGCTGCTTCTATCTGGAGGCCAAAACCCTCCTAATAACCTCATAATCCCAGGATCCTGGCCAGCAGGCTCCTGATGACGGCTCAGAAATATGACAGTATGTTGTTGTTGTTTTTCTTTCAAACAGACGGTGTATGCTTTACCAACCATTGCATTTGCGTTTGTCTGCCACCCATCTGTCCTGCCAATCTACAGCGAGCTCAAAGAGTAAGATTCGTTTCGTTTTTACGCCTCCTTCCTTGTTACCCACCTCCTACGAATGGGCAGGTTTTGTGTGAGAATAAACGCAGATCCATCATCCGCCCTCAGTGTCCACCGCCACTCTTGAGCAAGCTCTGTGTTAAGGAAGCTCTCAAATCTGCAGTCTTTTTGGCTGTAAATAAGAAAGTGACAAGCCTTAATCAATTAGTTCTGTCACTGTCCCCACCTTGCTCCCTTGAGACAGAATTTCTAAGTAAGCTGGCATCCAGTACCCCCAGTGACCACCTTCCATACCCCCTTCATCCCCTGCCCCCAAACACTGGGGTTACAGGCACACTCTTAGGCCAGCTTTTTACTTGGTTTCTGAGAATTAGAATTTAATTTCTCCTGCTTGCATAGCAAGTGCTCTTAGCCACTGAGCCATCGTCCCAACATCCCCCCAACACACACAGACACACACACACACACACACACACACACACACACACACACACGTGCGCGCTCGCATTGTAGTTTTTTTCTGTAAATACTGTGTACTTAGGAGTTCGAGTATCTGTACTGAATTTTGTTACTGGGGTTGTTTTGTAGGTGAATTTGTTATTTTGAAGTCAGGATCTTACTTATTAGGAAGCCCAGGATGCCCTGAAGCTCACCATCCCCGTCTCAGCTATCCCAGCAGGATACCGCCACTCTCTGTGGCCTCACAGGCAGAGCTAAAGGCCTCCTGTGTATTCTCTCTTTAGCACACTGCCGTCAGTGTCACTTTATACAAAGATCGTCGCCCACGTACTCTTAAGTTCAGGAGCAAGACACAATATGCTGTCCTTTCCCATTGTGGGATGCCCCTTGGCACATGGCACTGAGTTTCCTGTTCAGTCTTTTCCTGTTTAACTGACACATGGCTGAATTTTGAAGTGCCTGCATCTGTGTACACATACATTGTTCTTACCTGATGGTCCTAAACTTAGAGGATGTAAGTTTATCTATATCTGTATCTATATCTATATATTAGTTGGGTTGTCAGTATTTAGTTTGTGACTTCAAGTGTGTGTATGTGTGTGTGTGTGTGTGTGTGTGTGTATATATATATATATATATATATTTCTTAATTCCTTGGTCTTTGTTTTTAGCCGATCACAGAAAAAAATGCAGATGGTTTCCAATATTTCCTTCTTCGCCATGTTTGTCATGTACTTCCTGACTGCCATCTTTGGGTACTTGACATTTTATGGTAAGTCACATCCACAGGTGTGTACATATCTGTATTTAAAAATAACAGGAAAAAACAATACTGAAGTAACTTCACATTGATGCCAAAGAGCGCAACAGAAGGGTCCATGTTTTCTGTTTTGTTTTTTTCCTTATAGCAAATGGCGAGTTCCTTCCATACCCATTCAGTCTGCATAATAGAATAATCACTGAAAAATAATAGAAATTATTCTCTTCTTTAGAGAAATTGCATTTTAGAAGCATGCCATCTTAGGAAAATTTAAAACGACATCAGAGAAGACTTTCCTACTTGACACTGAAAATTGGGTCAGATTCCACTAATAGGAGAGAGAGAGAGAGAAAGCGAGAGACGCTGAAAGTGAGAGAGCGAGCCCACACTCATGACACTCGGCGTTAATTAAAAATAAAGCAGCTAATTGTTCGCCGGAACTTGGTGCTCCGCGGGGAAGGGAAGCAGTGCCACAGAAAAGAAGTGAGAGTTGAGAAAGAGTGTCCACTCGTGCTGCTGAATGTCGGCATAGGGTGTGGCTTCTGCCTCAGCTTCTCATCCGACAATCCTGCAGCTGTGAGTGTTCTTGAGTGTCGGAGTTGGAGAACTATTTAAGTAGATATTACCATCTTTTCTCTTATATGCTTCTTCAGGACTCCCTCCTCACCATAAAAATAAATAAAGTTTAAACACCTTTGCAGATGAATTTGGCTTGGGGAAAGGGTATTGATTTCATAAGCAATAGAGGAAGGCATTGCCAAATGAGGACATATCCGCTGCTTTTCGTTTTTTATAGAAATAGTGTCATGAGATTCCATGCATCACAGGGCTGGTGGATGAGGGGAGAGAGAAGAAAGCTAACACCCAAAGCCTGAGTTACCTTGCTCATTATGAGTCTTTGCAAGTTCATTTTGACACCTGTAATAGAACACAGGGTCCTTTCACATGATTAGGGGGTAGTATCCCAGCTATTTATAGATGGTTATGCATTTTGAGTAAAGAAAATGAGATCTAATGAGATTTTTATCATGACTTCCAGTCCCATTTCAGAAGCTGACAGACGCCATGATCTGTGAGCCTGGTTATAGTCTAAATTCCTTGCCCACAACCTTGAGACAGGTGCAGTGAGAAGCTCTGGAAAAGGGGCGTGAGGGGTAGGTGCTTGTCAAGAGAGTGAGTGTTGGCACGCTCCTCCAAGGCTTCTGTTCCAGTATCAGCAGCCTTTGCCATGACGCTTTTTACAGTTGCGAGTTGAGGGAAATCAGAGGAACCCATACAATAAAGACTGTGTTGTGAGAGTGATAAACTTAGACGGGAAGGATTCTCTCCCGAGGGTGGTTGAGCTGCTTGCCCTCTGCTGCTTGGCCACTGGAAGTTGAGCTACGGGGTGCCAGTTGGAAGGACAGATGTTTGTGAGGCCCATGGTTCCTGCAGCTCCTGGTGTGGAAGGAAAGTCAGATACAAAGGGCTTTAGGCTTCCTGTGTGTGTGTGTGTGTGTGTGTGTGTGTGTGTGTGTGTGTGTGTGTGTGTGTGCGTGTGTGTGTTTAGTACAAATGAAGCCTTCCACACTGACCAGCTTTTTCTAGTGGTGACTTCAGAACAATTTAGCTAACAGCGCATGTGCAGTGACGTTGTCCCGCTTGGGCATTTCTTTGAATTTGACATTTCAAACCCTTGCCTCCATTTCTCTTTACAGACTCTTGGTGGCTTAGGTGAAATGTCACTAAGCAGTGCCCTGGCCGCCTTTTAAAACGCTCTGACTCCCCGTCATTTCATTAAAAACGCTCTGACTCCCCGTCATTTCATTAAAACGCTCTGACTCCCCGTCATTTCAGAAAAGGTGCAGTCAGACCTCCTTCACAAGTACCAGAGCCAGAATGACATCCTCATCCTGACTGTGCAGCTGGCTGTCATCATGGCTGTCATCCTCACCGTGCCGGTGTTATTCTTCACGGTGAGTAAAGGGCCTTGGGGTAAGAGGAGAACCCTGGCTTTGGACTTTCCTCCTGACTACAGGATCCTATTCCCAGAGAAGGCCTGCACAAGAGAGGCTTCACTTGGCTCAGCCCAAACCTTCACCTCCTAGGCAACGAGTGCAATCCACGTGTTAGTGCAGCTTGTAGGGGCTGGGTCTGCACTCTGGCCTTCCAGCTTCCTCTTTTCACAAAAATGAAGAGTGGTTGCATCTCTGCCTTACCTTACTACAGAGGCCATTCAAGAGGAAATCGCCCCACCCAAAGGAAAACTTACTATGCTATCCATGAGCCTCCTAACAGTTGCAGTCAGGCCCCATATCTTCAAACTGTTATGCCGGCTCTAAGTTTGCCGAGCATCAGTAGCTAATTCAGCTGTTCTGGTGAGCGTGGAGGGCAGCGGACATCTGGAGCCCTCGGGGATCTCTGCTTTTCCCGCAGGTGCGCTCGTCGCTATTTGAGCTGGCCAAGAAGACCAAGTTCCACTTGTGCCGCCACGTCGTGGTGACCGTCATACTCTTGGTGATTATCAACTTGTTGGTGATCTTTATTCCCTCCATGAAGGACATTTTTGGAGTCGCAGGTATGGTTTTATGGGCGTTTTACAGTATTCAGAAGCTGTTTCTGGTTAAAACATCCAAATGATGGCTCTAAACAGTTGCTTCCTTCATTTGCAGGAGTGACGTCTGCTAACATGCTCATTTTCATTCTTCCTTCGTCTCTGTATTTAAAAATCACAAACCAGGATGGAGACAAAGGCACTCAAAGAATTTGGGTATGTCTGTTGCCTGTCACTCTAATTTTTCTGACTAGAAAGACCAGCTAAGCTTGCAGTCTCCTGACGTTACTTTCAGTTGTGTGACTTAGTTTTGCCCTGCTGCCAACACGCTGAGACTGAGCCAACATACACTCATGTGCTGCGTACACTCTTGCAAACAGAAACGTTAGTTCTCAGTAGCATTGCGGGTTGATAAGGTGGCCTGGGTATAGTTCCGAAAGCTTTTTTTTTTTTAGTTCTAGGTTTTGTTTTGTTTTGTTTTGTTTTTTTAAAGATACGGTCTCACTGTGTAACCATGCATGGCTGGCTTGAACCTCCTGTATAGACTGGGCTAGCCTGGAACCCGCAGGGATCTGCCTGCCTCTGCCTCACAAGTGCTGAGACTAAAGGCGTGTGACACCATGCCTTATTTGTTAGGTTGTAATCTTTTGACAGAGGAAGTCATGAGGAAACTCAGTCATTTGTAGCACGGGCCCACCCGAGGTGACCCAGAAGCCAGAGTGTAAAATGGAGAGGGACCAGGGCTGCTTGCTGTTTGTCCATCCTTGCAGGACCACATGGCCCCACGTTTAGGAGAGCCTTCAAGGTTTAGCCACGGTTGGGATGAACTCCAAACACCCCGGGACACAAAGGAAGAGGGCCAAGAGTTCCACTCTTCCTGCTTGTGCATGTGGGGCGGACATGCTGATTTCTTGGAGATAACCCCTGTTTTGTTGCTGCAGGCGGCCCTCTTCTTGGCGCTGGGGGTGCTCTTCTCCTTGATCAGCATCCCGCTGGTCATCTACGACTGGGCTTGCTCATCCAGCAACGATGAAGGCCACTGAGACCAGCAAGGAAAGCCAGCACCTGCTCCTGCCCATCCGGTCACCCCTCTTCAGCGGTCCTTCTTCACTTCTTTTGCAAGTTTACAGACAGACAGACAGAGATGCACACGACAACACTCGGGTTGCGACACAGAGACCTGCTTCTAGAATGGCTCGTGTCCTCCCGGGATCTCCACTTAGGAATTGTGGGTTTTATCCAGATTTCACGCAGTCATCTTCCCTCTCCGCCATTATGTTCTGTTGCTTCTTGTCTGTCTCTTAGAACTGTGAAAACACAATCATCAGGTGTATTCATTTGTTAGATACCCAGGTTCTAAAGTCATTTTCCTACTGGCATCCCCGCTTATGCTATCTGTATCTTTTTAGAAGAGAAAATAATCTTGAATTGTATATATTTATTTTGCTTTACAGAAAAAAAAAGGTTTCAGGAAAAAAAAAGGTTTCATAAATACTTTGCCTATTTTGGTTAACACAGCACACAGGGGTATTCCTTTGAGAGACAGGTTGGTACCACTGCTGCTTCTGAGCATGCCCAGTATTTGAGGCAGCTCTGATCTCCCAGTGTGGGCTGTCCTAGACCTGCTGGTACTCCATCCTGCTCCCACATGGAGCTATTCCCTGGGAGTGTCTTTGGCTGGGAAGGGATGGACATGGCACTTGTGGAAATATATTCGAATGCACATTTGGGAGAGCTCACAAATTCAGCTTTGTTTCCCCTCTTGGCATCTGGTGTCACAGTTACTCTAGACTGAGTCACCTGCTTGGGGTCCCGTGGCTCCCACAGTGATGAATGAGACTGTCCAAGATGCCTAAGAAAATACTCCTGATGCAGACAGCCTTCAGTCTACATCCTTATTGTTGACGGGGGAGACGGTTTGTTTGTCTGTAAGCCTGGCAGCATTTAGTCTTGTCCACCAGCTTTTTGCAACAGAGAATAATATGTACCTAAGGATGACCTGCGATAGGTCATCCTCTTTTATATCAGGTACTTTACTTTAGGGGAGTCTTTAAAAGACTTGTTTTATATCTATAAATCTAGGTTGTTACAGATATAAGATTTTTGTATCTTAAATAAGCCTCATTTCTATTCTCCATTAACACTCCATCCAATCTTGAAAGAAAACCTTCTGAGATAGTCTTTGTGGAGAACTTCTCAAGTCACTGTGTCCCCTCTTGCCCCAGCTGGGCACGACAAGAGGCCCTTCCCTGTCTGTGTTTCTTGCTTTTATCCCTTTACTGCCTGTGCCATGTGACCCACACAGGGGGAGAGCCACCTATACTCTCTCCCTAGCCCCTCCCAAAGAGAGCAGAGAAAAATGACGGGGTGACTGAAAACCACAATAGCTCTGGACACGGCAGCTAGGAAACCCAGAGCAGCATGTCCTGCTGGTGGGGTACTGTGGCTGCCCATAGCTTGGCTACAGGAAGCGCACATGCTGTGTGACCACTCTCTGCAAACAGGGCTTGTATTGCAGCCAGATGCACTCTGGTTGAATTCTCAGATACAAAAAGCTCACTGAGTGCAGATTTCCTACCTGGAGACAGGTAGGATCTAGCAGAGAGAGTTGGCAGAAGGCCCAGACACTCAGCTGTAGACACTGTTCCCACTGACTGAAGTCCCCAGAGCTCTTCAGGAATCTCATGAGAGTCACACAGATAAGGTAGGCATCAAAGTGCCTGCCACCATCCTCTTGGGGAAGAAGGTAAAGCTACTTCCTGTATTACATTATCACCTTGGTACAGTGCTTCAGGGTTCTGTCCACCCTGAGTTCGGGCAAATGAACACCAGGGCCTAGGCAGGGAAAGGGGAAAACCCACAGCTGCCTCTGTCCTTTTCAGAAATTCTTTCCATGTCACAGAGAACAGCAGAAAACTTGTCAAGCTTTGTAGCTTGTTCGGCACTGTTTAAAGAATACGTTGATTCAGTTTGCAAGCTATACTACTCTCTGTTTTCCCTCATTATCCTGTAACCATTCATTAATTTTTACATTCACGAAGTGAATTCAAAAACTATCACTAACTCTGGGATGTGTTGTGATTTTGGATCTCTGGATTTTATGTATTAGTAAAACTAATGTATTATTTACAGTATATTTATCTGCAGGAAGCACATTGTTGTTGATGTCTGTGATAAGAGTTTATTTTTAAAGCTCTTTTATATATGTACCTGAGTTTGTTTGAATGTAAGACCTTAGTGTCATGTGTCAGGTACCTCAGATTAATTCCCTGGTTTCTGTGGTGTTCCTGTATACTGCTCCTACTCTTGTTCAGAATAATGAACTGGTAGCCAAAACTTACCTGTATCACAGATGTTCAGTAGAATTCAACAGCACAGTCAAATGCAATAGACATTTTCCTGCTAAATTAGTAGACTGGGTAGTAGTAGGCCTTAGTCATGGGAAGCAGTGTTTTCCTGTGGCACATAGGATCTCCACACTGTTGGCCAGGGCCAGTTTCATACTTGGGGTTTAGACCTGTTCTCTGGCTACTAGAACACAGAATAGTGTAGATTCCTAGCTTAGTGTTGCTGGTTAGAAGTAGGGTTAACCAAGTGTGTGCAGGAAGAAAACCCATCTTTTAGGCATGGCCAGGCAGTCCCCGAGTCACAGGGAGAACCTGCTCCAAAGCTTTGTAACCTGGGATGAATTTTATGTAATATGTGAAGATTGGGCCCCCAAAGCAGACTGCCAACCCCACAGTTGCTCTGAAACAGAATAGTGTACCAGGACTGCAGAAGAACCAAGTCCCCAGATAGAATGGAAGCATGGTGGTGGGGTGGCGGGTGTCAGATCAGAGTCACTAAGAGTAAGCTACTGCCTGTTGTTGTGGAATCCAGTCTGTTCATCATCACCTGGGCTCCTGCCGCTTCAGAGGAACTAAGTTCAGAAACCTGCTGGTAGGTGATGGAGACGGAAGAGGAATCCCTTAGCTACCACCTCTTGTTTTCTCTTAAATCTGTCAAGTTTGACCTGGCACTTCCTGTTCTGTGGCCCTTCCCTGCTAGTGTTCACCTCCTCGCCACTGATGTCATAACTCCTCCCAGGTGCCAGCTTGGAGACCGGCACACAGCACTTTTAATGTCTTCTGTTTCAACCATGGTTTAACTGCTCCGTCATCAGATGAAAAGTACAAAAGAGGTCTCCATCTTGTATGTTTATGGACCATATTGAGAAGCCTAAGAGCGCCATTGGGTTGGGTTGCAGAGGACCAAGGTCTGCGGTAAGATGCCTCAGTGTTTCAGAGGATGCGTCCAACGGTTATGCCAAGAATTCTGCAGTTGAACTTAGGCCCCCAAGCTGGTGTCTCTCAAATTGTGGCCCCCAGGCCAGCAGCATGGACCTCATTTGCAAACTCAGAATACAAATCCTCATCGCCGCCAGACTGTGGACAAAGCAAACTGTTCTCTGCAAATCTCAGGTCTAGACTTCTAGTGATTCAGAGGCGTCGAGCTTGGGAACCAGTCAGGTAGACCTCAGAAGGAAGTTCCTGGGGTGAGGGATTGGAGCCAGGACTCAAAGGGTAGAAAAGGACCCCAGCCAGCGTCTGTGCAGATGCAGGAGACATCTAGTGCTGGGCTCCTACCTGTGTTCCCACCTGCTGGAAACGCAATGCATGGGCATGAGTGAAACTCGGGGGTGCCTGCGCTTTATGGAAAATGGCCTAGGGCACTAACATATTTCCTTACAGCTGTGGAGACATCAAGTTGAGGCTTTACAAAAATGTAGGTAAATTAAAATGTCTTTGTAAATGCAACTCTAAGAGCACTGTTGAGTTTTCAGGGCTCAGTTCTCCAAGAGGACTGTGTTTATGGTTAGGCAGAGCTAGGTGGGAGGGCCCTGGTGAAGTTCAGTCTTGGCATTGTAAAATGTAAAACACCAACGCAGAGAGTGTTCTAGAGAAAGTCCGCAGACTGGAGAGGTGGCTCAACAGTTAAGAGCACCGACTGGCTGCTCTTCCAGAGGTCCTGAGTTCAATTCCCAGCAACCACATGGGGGCTCACAACCATTTGTAATGAGAAAGTCCGCACTGCTGAGGGGAGCTGCAAGGGGCCGTGAAGGGAGAGCAGAGCCCAGCCTGTCTCAGTGAGGCACAGTGTGAGGCCAGGGAGGGTGGTGTATGCCTTAGAGCAGCCCCCATTCATCCCTTTAGAAAGGAGGTAGGCTTTAGGAACTGCATTGCCTATTCAGGGGAACCTCTGGGCACTGGGGAAAAGAAGTCACGCTGTCACCTAGTGGTATTAAACCAGCGGTTTCCTCTCAGGATGGCAGAGCTGAGACTCCTTCTGCAGTGGAGCATACTCCTAAAATACAGTGAGTTGTTGTAGTAATAAAAGACTTGGGGGTTGTGGGTGATAACTGAAGATGATGCTGAATCTGAAGGATGTGGGTTCTTGGATAAGGCAAAATCCGCATGGATGCAGATGTCTTTCTTAGGGTTTCCCTGAGGAAGAGCCAAAAAGCACTGGGCCTATCTGTACACAGGCTTGAAGAATCTATGCATATGAGACTCCCTTTAGGAATCTTCATTTGTATGTAAATATGTTGTAAATACATAGGAGGCTGTATATTTTTGCAGTTGTTGATCCACACAGAAATAGAGGCCACTAGTATCTGCGTATAAGACATACATTCTCATAGGTGTTAGTGGTTTTGTTTGGGAATTTTAGAAGGATTTTAACCTTCTCTCCCATAGTTCTGTCAATATAAACCTGGAGCCTAAAATCTTAATTGATTGGAAAAAGGAAATGCTGAGAAATAACTGCTTTGATTTCTTATTATGGTCTGTTATAAGGACGGTTTAGAAGAAAATCATTGTCATAGAAACAGACATGCCCCAAACGAGAAGTTGTTCCTTCACAGTTCATATTGATGCTACCACATAGAAGTTAAGAAATCAGAAGTTAGGGAGGGTTTTTTGATTTTTTTTTTTCCAAAATGGAACTATCTTTTCCCAGACTTTGGGATCCTTCAGGGGAGGGCTGAATTTTATGAGCACAGGTTTGAAGGAAAACATCTTGTTATTTAAGCTTTGGAAGGTCTTGCATGTTTGCCTCTTAGTGTTGATGCCAACATAGACTGTCTTGTCTGACCCCTACCACCACCACCCAACACTTGAAACTTAACCATTGGTACATAATGCTGTCTCTAGAGTCCAGTGTGTCTTAGACTCCCTCTGACATGTAGCGCACCACTGTTTTTATTAATGTAAAAACCTTGTAAATGGTTTCTGGTGGGCATCCAAAGTGAGTCACAAGTCACAAAACTTTGCTGTTCACTGTCCATCACATAAAGTTGGGTTGTTGTTTCGGTTTTGTTTTGTTGTTTTTTTTCTTCTTCTTTGGGTGTGGTATAAATAAGAAAGTGTAAGAAATTATGTTCTATAAAGGCAGTGTTAACATAGTTTTAAAACATTAAAAATGTAAATTAAAAGTGCTTGTGAGTCTTGTGTGGTTCTCCAGGAAGCAGTTATGAAAGATCACAGTGTGTATGCTGGCAAGTTACTGGAGGAGGGCTTGTTCACGTGGTTCTAGACCATAGAAATTCCTCTTCAAGAACCCAGACTGTAGCTGGGCCTGATGGTACAGCCCTGGACCCTTACAACTTGAGAGGCTGAGACAGGAGGATGGAGAGTGGGCCAGCCTGGGCTACACAGCAAGGTCCTGTCTTTTGTTTTGTTTTGGATGGTGTCATCTGGTCTGGCATATGCATATGTCTCTGTTTTTCGGAATCAGAGTGGGTTGAACAGAATTTCTAACTTCCGTCATGTTGCAGTAAGGACTCTGGTCACATTGTAGCCACCAAGAGGTCCAGAATCTTGTCAACACATACATTTTACCTCTGGGGAGAAACTGAGACCTTAAGATGGTTTTGACGGACAAGCAAGGAAGGCCAGGATCAGATACACAAATTCTTCCTGTGAATAGTAACCACAAAGACAGCCTGGGCTTTTTTGTTTGTTTGTTTGTTTTGTTTTTCCTGTGACTGTATATGAGGCTGGCTAATCTGTTGATGATAACAGCCCATCCTACAGAGCTCAATAGCACATCCAGATCTCTAGGTAGAAGTAGGAACATGGGTGTCCAAGCTAGGTACCCCAACCTAACTTCATTAGGAATAAAGCTGATCCCATTAAATTTACATGGCTTTTGTATCTGGTGTGTGTGTGTGTGCACACGTGCATGCATACTGTTCTGTCACATTCTGTCCTTTAATATATGTTCGTTGGGCTAGGGTTGGTCTGCCCCACCCCTGGAGAATAAACTGGGCTTTGTGGAAACTGAACCTCAGGTTCTATTTGCTTGTGTACTAGAGACATGAGTATGTTCTACTTAGCCTGGAGAGATAGATGAGGCCCTAATAACCGGACCTTTTAGACTAATTCAAGTCAAATTATGATCTGCTTTGCTGGATTTAATACAATATCAAAATGACCAAATTTACAGCAGTAAAATCAAATTGGTATCAGCATAAAAATAATTACCACAGCACAAATAGTACCAGAGAGGTGGTCTTTAGAGTCTATGGAGAGGATTAAGGCTACTCAATAAATATGGGGGGGATGGGGAGGCTGAGGAACATAAACCCAGATCACTATTACCCCATGTCTAAAGAGAACTCAAAGTAAAGACCTTAACAAACACACACAAGTGAACGTCCTGTATACTTGAGACATGACTTAAAAATCATGTCTTATTTAGCTAGCTTGCACTCACTCATTTAACACAGGATCTGCGTAGCCCAAGCTGGCCTATAATTCACTGTGTAGACAAGGCTGACCTCAGACTAACAGCAATCCTTTTACGTCAGCTTCCTGAGTACTGGGATTAGGGCCATGAGCCACCATACCCAACTTTAGTTCATTTAAAACTAGGGAACAAGATGTTCAGAAGTGATTTACAGTGTCAGGCATGGTTGTACATTCAAGAGAAGGAGGTTGGAGGAGGAGGGCAGTCTAGACTACATGGAGCATTTGAGCCTGGCCTGGGACTGTGTAGTAAGAACTTGATGCATTAAAAGAAATGTTTGCAAGGCTCTGGGTTTAATATTTTAGCAGGAAGCCTACTTGGGAGGTTCAAAGAATTTAAGACCAGATGTGGAAGTAATTGATATAAGACTGTCCTTCTCAAGAAGGACAAGCCCATCACTATCTCAACAAGAATTCAGTTTTGTCTCTGGACAATAAAAGTTTCTGTCTCTTATCAGTTTACTACAATTTACAGGATTGTAAACTAGCTCTTTTTTTTTTTTTTTTGCATCAATTGACCTTTAATGTCCAAAAGAGGCGTGGATGCAGAGCATAGATGTGGCAGGGTCTCAGTCCCTGCACCAGAAATGAGAGATGAACAAAAAATGAGACACTTCCAACTGGCCAGTCTTGGAGGGCAAGGAGAAACACAGATCTGGACATTCGTAAGAAAAATAAAACCTAAAGTCATTCAGTCTTTACCCAATGAAAGGTTTGAACAGGGAACTCAGTCACCACCAGTTCTCACCCTCCCCTGCCAGCACTTAAGAAATAAAAAAGCTCAATACACACAAAGGGCTTGGGAGGAAGGGGCATTCTCCTGCTTTCCCCCACCCCCAAAAATGGGTTGGGGGAAAAAAAGTTAAATTTCCCCTTACAGTGTCAACCCTACTGAATGTTCTGAATGTGATTCATTCGAACCAGCAGCTCAATTGGCAATGGCAACCCCCACCCACCCCAACCATGTCCACAATGGCCGAGTTTTCCCTCGCACCGTCTCTGGAAGATCCTCCCACTCACAATCCTCCACCTGACTCCCAGAGCTTCATTACTGTACTTCAGACCTGTTCCAAGGAGCCCCTCTCTGCCCTCATTTCTTACATTCCTATGTCCCACTAGAGGCTGGGACCAGCCACAAGTTGCTCCCTGCCCACAGATCCAACTCCAGGGCAAATGGCAGCATGGCCATCTTGTCCTGGGTGACCTTCCAAAAACCTTCCCAGAAACAGACAGCCATAGGGCAAATCAGGGTGTCCAAGCTAGAAAGCTGAGGGAGGGGATGGTGTGACACCAACCTATCCTCACCCCCCAACAGGTAACATGAAAGCCCACTTAGAACTAACTGTGCCTCCCCATACACCCTAGATTCCACTTATCCTGCCCCTTCCCTCCCTTCTACCCCAGACCCACCCCCCCACACACACACAGATGAACACAAACACACACAAGGAAGAATCAAGGGGACACTGATTTGGTTTGATCACTAAGACCTAACTAAGGAACTACAGTCACCAGAAATTCCCTTGCCAGCCAACAACAGGGCTGCTCTAAGAGAACTGAGGAATGAGGGCTAAGCAGGGAGCAGACAGAAGAATGTAAAGGGAAAATGTCAGCTAATCCTACTCCCAGCATCCTCCCAACATGATGTCTGGCTGGAAGAATAAAGGAGGCTAATCCACAAAGACACAGCCCTTACTTAGAGACCCTGACAAGGACATAAGACAAGTCTGCTCCCCACTCCCACACCACAAACACATCTCAGGGCCTCTTAAAGACTGTACCCACCCACCCACCCCTACCCCAAGCCATAAAGTCACAGTTCAGTGGAATATTCTCCCTGGTACTAAAGCAGTCCCTGCACCCAACTTCCTATCCCTCTCCTTCCTTGCCAATCCTAAGGCTGTCCTCACAGCCTCCTGGCCTTCCTAAAGCGGCATCTACCACAGGAGGCAGCCGCTGTTCTACCTCCACCTCCAGACCCCTATTTTCTGCTCCTCAGCTTCCTAGTCTCCTGGGCTTTGCTGAGGGCCTTTTATTTTACACAGGGAGAGGAAGAGAAAGGAGGGGCGGGAGAGAGTCCCTAGTGCAGTACAACCAAAAAATATTTTTTAAAGTCTTAAAAAAAAATAAACATAAAGCAGCCTTCTTCCCCAGGCAACTAAACAGAAAGAAAGTTTGGTTTTTGTTTACTGCGACACACACATGAAATCGAGTATACAGTCCATGCAGTAGCACAGCCATTGGAGAGGACTTCCTGATGCTGGCCCCAGTGCAAAACAGTTCCAGCAACGCCGCCTGCTTGCCATCGCTGCTGCCGCCACTGACACCTTCATCTTGGCCACCTAGCCTGACTTGAAGAGAAGGATTGCAACTTGACCCAAGTAAAAATAGATGAAGTGCTTTGTCTCGTGTGTGACATAGCTGCCAAAATTTCGGCCCACGATACAATGCCAGGTAGGGTTATATTTCTTGTCAAATTCCTTCTTGATACAGGCAGCAATGTCCTTCTCTATGTTGTATTTCTCCATGGCCTGTGTGGCGCAGTCAACGGCATCCTGTTTGTTGTATGTCCTCAGACATGTCTGCGCAAAGACAGGGGGAAAAAGTTAAAAGTGAGGCACAAAAACAGCCTGTAGGATATGTGGAATTCCACAACCCAGAAGGAACACATACTTGTCATCTTTTTTTTTTTACCTTTCTGACTTCGCTTTTGTAACACTAAAAGTCCCACAGATTATTCTTGGTAATAAAACAGCTGTTCTCAGTAGGGCTGGCCTGTTTATCTGTGTAGGTGTGGCTAGGTGTTAAGTGACCATAAAGGCTTCCTTTGCAATCTAGACCTGCAGTACTGTCTGGTAGAACACACCTTTAAAGGTTTATTGTTTATTGTTTCCCAAGGAACTGAGGTCATTCACCTGCAGTGTCTATATACCTGAGAGAATTCCTTTCTACTTGAATTTGCCTCTGGAAGAGGTTCCTGGTCTGTGAGGGAGTGCCCTGTGTTAGCCTATACAAGATTAGTACCCTACCTTTGGAAGTAGGGTGCAGGTTACAGGCCTAGAAGATTGGTTCTAGGCCAGTGTTTTATGGGGGAGGGCTTGGCAGACATTCACTCCTTGACATATCTATCTAATGACCAGCGTTCTCCAGCGTGGTCAGAATTCCAAGGCAGGCCAGGGTTACACCATCAATTTTTCAGCTTATGCAGAAAAGAAGAGTTTCCTCATGAACCGATACACATGATTACATTGCTTGACAAAATAGAGGGGCTTGGTCACAGAGGTCAGTAGGTGCAGGGAATTTTAACTCGGTTTTGTTGAGCAGATTATACTGCACTGTTACAGACTAAAGACAGCTTGAGAAGGAAGAGCTATGGCTTCCTTATATAGACATGAAATGGAGCCTTAAAACCCCATCAGCTTGAAGCTTTTCTCCTTGGGTCATCCTGCCCTTTGGGATTTTTTTTTTTTACTCAACCTTGGGTTGGCACTTGGAGTACATAAAGTTGTTGCTTCTGGATTGAAAACAGTCCTGAATGCTCACCCTCAGTCTGCTGGTGCAGCCTGAAATGTGTCTAGGGGATGTCAACTCAAAAGTCTGTGTTTAAGGTCCTTGGCACAATCTCTCTCTATGAGACTCTAGGGAAGGAAGGCCTTGCTGGAGATCCCGATGTCAGCCTGTAGTTTGT